TAATTAAAAATACTATATTTAATAAAATTTAACTTGTGCCTGAGGGCATAGGTTAGAAAATTCTATTAACAAAGCCAGTGACCAGACAAATGGATGGGCATGCATGCCAGGGAATTAATTAACCTAACCTAACCTAAAATCTTTTTTATGGGAGGAGAGGGTTGCCCTTGATTATTTTATGGACCATGATTGGTGCACATCCGGATCCAACACCTGGGTGTGCACCCTTCACATAAAAAAAAAAAATGAACTGGGTGTTCTCCATTTTTTTTTTTTATGCGGAGTGTGCATATTCGAGTGTTGAATTCGGATGTGCACATATCATTTTCCTTATTTTATAACTCTCTCTACTCGCAGAGCATATTGTTCGAATTTGAATTCAGATATCTTATTTATATCAAAAAAGAAATAATTACTTAGTTAAGTAGTTGGCTTATATATTTATATTATTCTTCCAAAAGTTAAAGAACTATGTCAAGCCAAGAAAGTTATCAAGTTAAAGAAGTATGTCAAGCCAAGAAAGTTATCAAGTTAAAGAACAAGAAGGTATATATCCAACTGCTCTTCTTGTGTTCATTATATCGTTTATGTTACCTTTCTGACTTACCTTTATTTTTTGGCCATACGTCTTATTACTGGAAAAAATGAAACCAAAGAAGCATGCTGAACCTATATCTCTTTAATACCTCTAGCTAAAATAGTGAAAACATTATACCAGGCATTATAGCATATATAGAACGAACAATGCATGTTCCCAGTTCCCATCATCAACACCCTTGGCCCGACCAATACACCAAATTGTGCAGGGGGTGCCTGTATATATATCATGAAAACAATCTGCACTACATAACATGTTCGATCTCCATGTAAGGCACAAAGCTATATATAATTAATGCTTGCATGCCAAGTTGAGCAAATAGCTAGCTGTAAAATATATGGGCAGCAACCCCTTATAAAGTTATTGTTTTACACACAAAATTACTGTAGGAAACTGAAAAAACCAATATAGAAATTATGCTAAGGTATTGTCTTTAATTATATATATATATATATATTATCTTTGCGAAATTAAGTGCAATTCCAAACTTAAAATTTCTTAAATTTTGAATTTTCAGTTCTTAAAAATTTTGCAAATTAAAAGAAATAATTTAGCAGCATATATATAAAATAGTTAATAACACTAAAAAAATTTTTGTCTTTGACGTAGGTACAGTAGTTTTTTTGTATAATTGGAGGATTAACTACTAATTGGTTTCACAATTAAAAGTTAATTTAAATCTTTGGCCATGATCTAAAATTATAATTTTAAAGTGAAAAAATGATTGATACATTTTTTTTTTGAACTTTTTGTCATGGGG